TCGGTCGTCGAGCCAACCGGACGTGCATTTATTTTGCACCATCTAAAGGTTTTCACCATACCATGACAGATATGCGACCGGTCTCGCCTGAGAAGCTTATCACTGTACCCGGACGTGCATTTATTTTGCACTATCTTTCAAGAAAATCAACTACAATCATTTACAGATGCACGCCAGTTCACGCCTGGAAAATCTATCAGTACAACACTTTACAATCCTACATGTTACAACATCGGTATACGACATTTCTCACCTAAGAAGCCGATCCTATCTTCGTTAGGACTTGCAGCAAATGGCCATCTCCATGGAGCAGTTGGGCTTCCATTTTCCCTGTTGTCTTGAAGTATAGGGAGGTTTTGAACCAAATCGTATTCAGGAGAGCACGATCTTGAAATACGGGGAGGTTCGAGCTGAATCATATTCAGGAGAGCACGATCTTGAATTATGAAGAAGTTCATTTACCCTTTAGTAAAAGAAGGAGCGGAATCATATTCAGGAGAGCACGATCTTGAAGTATGAAGAAGTTCATTTACCCTTTAGTAAAAGAAGGAGCGGAATCATATTCAGGAGAGCACGATCTTGAAGTATGAGGAAGTTCATTTACCCTTTAGTAAAAGAAGGAGCGGAATCATATTCAGGAGAGCACGATCTTGAAGTATGAAGAAGTTCATTTACCCTTTAGTAAAAGAAGGAGCGGAATCATATTCAGGAGAGCACGATCTTGAAGTATGAAGAAGTTCATTTACCCTTTAGTAAAAGAAGGAGCGGAATCATATTCAGGAGAGCACGATCGTGAAGTATGAGGAAGTTCATTTACCCTTTAGTAAAAGAAGGAGCAGAATCATATTCAGGAGAGCACGATCTTGAAGTATGAGGAAGTTCAGTTTACCCTTTAAGAAAAATCAGAATCGTATTCCAGGCACCGACCTTAAATATGAGAAGATTTATATATCAGATAAGCAGCAGCCTCTTTATTTGAGTGCTTATCCGTTTTGGCATGTAAGTCCCTTCCAACGATAAGTGACAGTTCTCCCTCGAGAAGCTTATCGGGGCATTTCCCATTAAAGTCCATTTACTTTGGCATACAGCCAGTCTTTACCCTGTATATTTGATACGGATTTCCGAAAATCCATTCGATCCCACCACGAGGGATAGGTTATAGAAGCTTGGATGTTATTCTTTGCTCAATGCTCCAGCATTCTGTGATCGATCTTGCAATCGTGTAGGTCCAATTATTATTAGACATTCCCAAGTGGAGGTCATCTCATAGATGCCATCTCCATTTAAGGATCTTATTCTAAAAGTCCATTTATTTTGGCATACAGCCGGTTCTTTTTTACCCTGTATATTTGCTACGGATTCCCGAAAAGTCCGTTTGATCCTGTCACGAGAGATAGTTTACAGAAGCTTGGATGTTATTCTTTGCTCAATGCTCCAGCATTCTGTAATCGATCTTGCAGTCGTACATGATCCAGTTTTACTTTTAGATTCCCCAGTGGAGGCCGTCTCATAGGTGCCATCTCCATTTGAGAATCTCGTTCCCGGTCTAAAAATGATAATTGGTCGTGTTCGCACCAGCTGACCATCATTTTAGAATTCCCCAGTGTTGTACTGTGTCCCAGCGCGTCGTTTTCCCCAGTGTGTTCTTCTCGTAGCGTCTGTCCCTGTGTCATCGTATTCGTCAGCATTTTCGCACTCATCATTCCAGCATACACATCATATCATATTCATGGCATTGTCTGCATTAGTCTTGTTTGGTCCATAACATTGCATATCGCCACATATAAGGGCAAAATTTTCGGTTATCTATATTTAAATCCCTCCACCATGATTCCTCGAGTCTCCGCCACTCGAATCACCCGGTGAAGTTATTTAAATAGGGGCAACTGTAATACCCCAAATTTTGCCCTAAGATTTGTCGTCGCATTTCATTGCATTTTTATTGCATTTAATCAATTACTAACAAATTTGTGTAGTCGTTTGACTTTTTGCAGGTAAATATCATATGGCATGCATTTTTTTTCTAAAAAGTAAAAATGGCACAATTGGCAGGAGGACATGTGTAAGGAGTTATGAGTGTGAGAGGTTGAGAGTTTGAATCTCACCTTTGTCACTTTTTTGTTTTTTATTATTTTTACTCTAAATTTTTCTATCTTTCATTAAAAAAAATAACAAAAATAGTTTTTTATTATTATTTAATTATTATTTTCGTATTTTAATTAAATCATTTTTTAAAATATTATTTTTTTCACTTTTTTCTAAATTATTCATAAAAATATCCAAAAAATCATAAAATAAAAAATATTGAAAAAAATTTTGTTCTTTTTATAATATTTTTGATTTTAGGAATCAATAAGATTATTAGTTTTTATTTTAAGTTTATTTTAATTATTTTAAATTATTTAAATTTTATTTTTTCTTAACTAATTATTTAGTTTGGGCTTTAAAATGGGCTTTAGGGACATTATTGACAATTTAGTGTTAACCCTAATTTGTTCCCTATATATACATGTGTTGCCTTGTTGGAAAAAAGGGGGAGAATGAAAAAAACCTAAGAGGAGTGAGTGCCGTTTGCCGTTATTTAGTTTTCTTCTTCATCCATTACTATTGTTTCTTTTTCTTCATCGTTTACCGTTATTTCTTTTCCTTCATCTATTACTGTTGTTTCTTTTTCTTCATCTTTTACCGTTATTTCTTTTTCTTCATCTTTTACCGTTATTTCTTTTTCTTCATCTATTACCGTTATTTCTTTTTCTTTATCTATTACTGTTACGTTTATATATATATAATTTTTAAATTGTTAGAGTTTGTATATATAAGATTAATTTTTGATCGAATTATGTCGATACGATGTTTGCACATTTGTGTGCATGACGCGTGACATTTGTGTTAGTTCGATCTGGTTGCGATGATCGCATTTTTGTGTGAGCAATAATACTATTTTTTGCTTAATTTCTTTTTCTTTGCGATAAATTTTGTTTCGTCCGATTTAGATCTGGTTGCGATGAGCGCATTTCTGCGTTAGCAACATTGTTGGGTTATTTGGCACATTTAAAATTCATTATTGTTTTATTATTATTATTATTATTATTATTATTATTATTATTATTATTATTATTATTAGTATTATTATTATCATTATTTATTATTATTATCATTATTATCATTATTATTACCATTATTATTATTATTGTTATTAGTAATTTATTAAAACTTGTTATAATATAAAAATCTGTTTTTTAAAATAAATAACATTAACATCTTTTCCAAATTAATATGAAAACCTACTATTTTTAAGAAAAACTTTTTTTTAGATAAATTTAAAATAATAACTAAAATCTTTTTTTTTTAAAATAATAACTAGAACCGTTATTTATTTTATTTTATTATTGTTCAATTCAAATTTCATTATCATATTGTATCTGCTCCTCTCATGTAACCTCGCGAACTTAACAATCGCTCTTTAAATTCTGCCTTTAAATTTCTGCTTGCATGGTTTAAATTATGACATTATCTCTCTGTTTGCATGATTCAATTATCTCACGCGTTTACCATTATTTCTGTCACATTGCACACATCCGAAGGTTAGGTCTAACTGTTTGGCCGCCGCGCCAATAGTCCGTAAAACTTCACACATTCAATTTCAAATCCTCAAAACTCAAACTACAAACCCTAATTTTCATACATGTCTCGCCGCAGGCAAAATTACCATTTTACCCTTAGCATTAGGTCAAAGAGCCGTCGCGCTCATTTTAGGGTTTCCCGCCGCGGAATCCCTAACCTAACCTAATTTAACCCTAATTACAACTTAACAATTCAACGTAGAGATTTGGAGTTTCTACACTCCACGTAAGCGTGTCCTTAAGATGCGTTTATTCCCCTTGAGACCTTGACCACAGTCAAGAGGTCTCTAACCTCCCTTTTGAGGGGAACTACGATTACTCTGATTCCACTCCCGTAAGGATACGTAGGCACAAGATGCGATGTCTTGCCGAGTAAACTTAGAATTAACCCCTTAGGTCTCCTTTCTCACTTTTAATCCCTTTGTACATATACCTTAAGCAAATAAATAAAGCAAATAGTAAACATTTGAACAAAAGGTTCCTGTAGAGTACTACAGAAGTTTAGGGTGCTAATACCTTCCCTAAATTTAACCAACCCCTGAACCCTAGATCTTTCCCCGCATTGTGTTTACGATGCAAAATAGGTTTTCCCTCTTTTGACCTTTTCCTTCGGATAAATCAAAGAGCGGTTGTGAATTGAATTGCGATTCAAACTCATTAATAGTTTGTAATCCTATTTCCACCGCAACACCAGGTAAAACCAGTTTTTAATAATAGAACAGGAAAGGAAAAATACTATAATTGCTTTCATTTTGAAAAATAACACTATTTTTTTAATGGAAAATTTGAAGGCCGAAAATGATATATTCAACATAAGGAACTTTGGAGAGTTATGAAGCATCATTTATTCACTAAATCCTTTTACATTATCAGCTCTTGTTTTGATAATAGCTCTTATGTTGAGAAAACAAAAAGCCTATTGAATTGTACAAGACATGGCCACATCTTATGAATTAGAATCATGAATTGTCAATGTTCTATTTTAAAGGTTTATCCACTATTTGCATTGGTAGCACAACGTTCAGAATGATGACTCCTTAATTAGGATTTAGAGTGGGAACTGGGAAGTGAGTGGTGTGATGTTCAAAGACACATTTGCAGTTTTTATTTGGTTTATCTGTTACCATAAGAAGTAATAAAGTGGATGAGGCTTATATTATTGTCTCTGTGCATAAGTATTCTGACATGGTTATGTAACTGTAGCAGAAGTAATTAATAACATGAGTTTCGTCTTCTATACTTCTGAAAGCTACCTAATTGTTGCACCTTATATGTATTCACTGATGTTATACTTGTTTAGTCAAATTTCTTCTGCTATTTCGAGCAATATAAATTTGTTTTTGATGATAAGTAAACGCAAAATTTGAAATTTTGTTAATGGGTGCCGGATATGTTTTGAATGTTTGCGGTTGTGGCTCCTATAATGACAACAGTTCACATTTTTTGCTACTTTTGTTACTGATGTTGCAGGATGTCATTCCCCAATATCCAACCACTTGTCCAGTGGAGTGGCTTGATGCTGAGGATCCACTTTTTCTACTCTATACAAGTGGGAGTACCGGAAAACCAAAGGTATTTGTGTTTTGTTATTGTTGTAATGTTCCACTTTCCCTCTTTTTATGACTCAATGGTGCTTCTTTCTAATATCTAATATATGTTTCTAAAAGGGTGTCGTCCATACAACTGGTGGTTATATGGTATTCACAATTCTGCTTTTCATTGAAGAGCATTGCCACTTGGAGATACCAGAAGAAGGCTTTTTTGGGACTTCCATTCATGGAAGATTTTCTTACTGATAGTGTTTGTTCATGATGATTGAGTTTTGCAGTTGTTATTAGTTGTGTTTGAAATTTGAATACTTGCCTTGTATTATACATTTTGGAATCCGATACTTTGCTTGTCTTTGGAACACCCCTGTTTGCTTCAATTCATCTTTGAAACTGAAAATCTTCTCCCCATAAAATTTATGATCAATAACAGGAAGATCATAAAATACCTCCAAAATGCAGCCCCATACTCGGTTAACCGAACAAACCGATCCATTTTCCGATCAACCGATTAAACCGATCCAATCAAACCGATTAAAACTTCAGTCGAAATTAGGCCTACCAAATCTACCCATGGTTTTGGCCGGTTTGACATATTGGGCCCAAATCCAATCCAAACTGATTGATGTCCAGCCCTAAACCACATTATGCCTCTCACAAAATTCATCTTTTCTCCGTACACAGTACACACGCGCATGAAACATTATGGACCCACCAACCATATACTACTCTCTCATTTCAATTAAAAAAAAAACATGATAAAGAAATAATAACATAAAAGAGAAAACTGGAAACACACACAAAGAGGAGAAGAAAACCTGCGCATGAACTAGTAGTTGGCTCACATGCACGAAAAAAACCCATAAAAAGCCACTGCAATTTTTTCCTCCATTTAACTTAACCAATCTCTACATAGTATGAGAGGGGGCTGTACACAACATAACTTGTTTTTTCTACATATTTCTTCATCCCTAACTCAATAATACCTCTATCTCGCAACTTCATATTCTCCTTCCATAAACACACCTTTCTCTCTCACTCTTCATTACTTTGAAGTATGCTCACGCGACCCTTAACTTAATTTGTATTTTCAGTTTAGTCCCTTATGTAATAAACGTTAGTGTCAAGTCCTTTAATTGTGATTCTGTTAGCCAATGTGATCCTTTCTGTTAAAATGTGTGTATTTTTGTTAGTTGTTGCTTGGGTGGCATTCCAGCTGGCTTTCTTAAGGTAACATGGATTTATGGTTTGACATTTTGATTAAAAAAACATTAGAATTTTCGAAGTTTCATTTTATCCCTTTTCAACGTTTCACTCATCTAGAAACCCTAACGAAGCAGCAACCATTAACATCCATCTCCATCTTCGTTCGTGTGGCTATCAGTCATCTTCATTTCCGTTCGTCAAGGTATGGTTATCATACATTTTCATTCGTTCATCATTCTTCATTCTCATTTTTGTTCTTCTTCATTTTAGGATTTATGTATTATTTGATTCTAAGAGAAAGAGGAACAAGGTCCATCATCTGTTTTGAGGTACGAATGATGCAAACTTTATATTATTCCCCTTCATTTACTTTAGTTCTCATTTAGGGTTTTATCTAGTTTTTGTATTTAGATCATAGAGAGTTGTTTTAATGCGTTGTTCATCATGAGGGTGAATTTGCTGAGTTAACGAAACTAGGTTATAATGGGTTAGAGGAAACGTGGGATGTTGAGCCTGATTTTTGGAGTTACTTCGAAGTGTTAGGTGGGTTAAAGGATTTAGGTTATCTAATTATAGAGAGTCTTTTGTATTATGATCAAATGGAGTGTAATAGCATTGTGGAGTTGAAATATGACAATGGGACAAGGAGGATGCATACAATTGTTGTGTTGACTAGGGAGGTTCATTTATATGTGATACATCTTATCCTACAACCTGAGGTAATTGAGGAACCAATATTATCACTTGAGTATAATGTTGAAATAGGTGCCATTGAAACTGAGTTAGGTGGGAACATTGATGAGGGGACCACTGTAGTTGAGAATGTAGGAGACAACACTGAAAAGTTAGAAACTGACTTTGAGAGTGTTATGGATGTGGAAGTTGATGTGGAAGGAGGAGAAATAAATGAAAAGGGGACCACAGATGTTGTACATGATGTGGAAGTTGGAGACAAGGGGACCACAAATGTTTTACCTGATGTGGAAGTTGGAGACAAGGGGACCACTGAAAGTGAACATGGTGATGGGGCCACTGAAATTGAGCATGATGAGGAGACCACTGTAGTTGATCAAGGTGAGGGAGATGAGGGGCTGAATTATAACAATGATGGAGAAGAAGGATTGAATTGTAATAATGATGGATACAAGGGACTGAACTGTAACAATGATGAAGACTGTGAAGTAGTAGAGAATGAGAATTGTAACATTGACGGAATAGAGGTAGAAGATGGTGGCAGTAAGGACAGTGCATTGGAGATCAATTTTGAATATTCTGATGATGATGTGGTTATAAATGAGGAGATACCACCAACTAAACATGAAGTGTCTGAAGATGAGGTGGTTGAAGAAAATGGGAAGGGTAAAGGAAAGGGTAAAGGTAAAGGTAAAGAGAATGGTAAGGGAAAGGGAAAGAGGATGGGTGTCGCTTGCGCGAAAATAAGGTGTCGGCACAACAGAAGAGTCGCCACCTTTCGTTATTTATCCCTCAGAGCGGGAAAGGAAACGATCGGAAAAACCTGACGAAAAAGGGTAAGACAAGGTCGTCGTAACCATTGTCTGGGTTCGGGAGTCGGTTACGCAAGGGGAAGGTATTAGCACCCCTCACGTCCGTCGTACTCGACGGGATCCACGCTTGTTGTGTTTACTGGACGGGTTGGTTTCATCTATCTACCTATCAAGGCTGGCTTAAAAAGAAAAGAAAAATGACTCGGCAAAGCGTCGCACTTTATGCCTACGTATTCTCATCAGAGAATGAGAAATCAGAGTCAACGTAGTTCGACCTACGACGGGTTATGGGGGAAGGTAGCTCGCCAATACATCAGTATTGTGCCTACGTATTCTCAACAGGTAGGAGAGATCAGAGCTCACGTAGTTCGAGAAACTACGGTTTATTTCCTGTCTTTTATGAAAGAAGTGTTTTTTATTGTGTTTGCAATTTCAATCGCACTAGAGACTATGACCTGAGAGTGAATGTGTCGCATGTCACCCAAAGGGTGCCATACTAAACATCCAGACTGTGGAAAAGAAACTCTCCCACAATCCTTTCTCAGATAGCTTAAGGCTCGTAACGTACGAAAGAAATCATTCATGATTACTGTATCTTAAACTGTTTTGAGATGAGAAGAGAACAGGCCCAACTAGGAGGGAGACTATCAAGTCCTACTGTTTTCATGCCATGGATTCATCCTATGGTTGAGGTTTGAACAGGGAACTCCTAGAAGTTGTCATGCATAGGTTTCAACCTAAAGTTCTATCATCAATTCCTTATCAAAGGAAATGAGAGTCCTAAGGGATCATGTCAATGATACACCAAAACAGACAAAGCATCAGCTTAACAGTAAAATGCATGCAATGCAAGTGAGGGAGGAAATGTGTGTGGGGCTTCAGCCTCCACAAGCTCATCTCAACCTCAAGCCAGAATGGATAACAGTAATCATACTGAAAGGTAAAACAACATGCTATCAAGCAAAATACAGTAAACTGCAATCATACAGATGAAATGAGATAAAATGCCATCAAGCAAGCAAACCACATGGGCAAGGGAGCTGGGCTCTACCGAATACCCGCAAGCAAAGCCACACAGTAACAATACAAGCAGAGGGAGCAACTCAACCTCTAGTGCAATCATGCTCCTAGATTCTACCTATTCTAGATATGAACTTACTCTAATGCATCAAGCAATTCAAACAAAACACATCAATACAGAGAAGAAAAAGAAAAGAAAGCAGATCCTCTCTCAACTCCAAGCTTCAGCTCTTCCAATAGCAATTCAGTCTTCAGACTTCAATCACTCTTGACAAATATCAATTTGCTTTTCCAGGTTTCAACCCTTCAACATAAGTTTCAACTTATCTTCTTCTCTGAGCTTCAGCTCCTTGATCAGCTCCACCTTCAGGCTTCACTAACAATCATAAGTGTCAACTTGACTCCTTCAAGATCTCCAGGTATCAAAGTAAGTATCACTGATTCCTACGCAAATACTCTTCCGCTGCGAGTAATACCACTGATTCCTGCGAGATTCTCCACAGTCAACCCATACGGCTCTAGCTCCAACCTCTGTCCGTTGCAATAGACTTCAGCCCCGTAATGCCACAGAACGGCGTTAGTGCTCTCGAAGGGTATCGGCCCAACTTTGGTAATAGTGATTGTAGGCGGTTTGGACGCAGAAATGGTTATTGGCCGGCGAGGGATGGTGATGGTGGCGACTTCATCGGCCTGCTTCAGCACGACCTCTCCTGATCCACTCTCAGCCCTCCGGCTAAACTGCAGAATCCCTTCAGTCATCAGACTTTGAATTCCTTCTACCAACTGCTCGCATCCATCAGAATGTGTGGCACAGTCCATACATAATTCTCCGCACCCTGGAAAGAACCCTCTTTTCAACAACTTAGCTTTGACGAACCTAAGCGGCGTCTTTAGGTCTCTGACATCAGTCAACAGATCTGCGCTCTCTTCTTCGATAATGGCGTTCACTCCGCCTCCCCTATGATTCGGCATAGGATTCTTCGTTACATTGGGCACATTATCGGAGAAGTTGATGATCTTGGCATCCACTAAATCCTGCACCTTGTGCTTGAAGGCTTTGCAGTTCTCGACTGTGTGGCCTGGTGCCCCTGAGTGGAAGTCACAAGTGGCATTTGCGTCGTACCCTGGTGGAGGTGCCCCTGTCAAGGGAGCCATCGTCCTCTTCTGGACCAACTGTAGCTGAAGCAAAGTCTGCAAGAGTTGCGCATACGACATGGGCGGTGCCTCGAAGTGACGGTTTGTCAAAGATGCCCGATTCTGGTACTTTCTATATCCCTGTTGATTAGGTTGCTACTGCTGCTGCTGCGGAGCTGCTGGGATGTTTATACTGGCTATCTGCTGCTGAGGGCCTTTGCCCTTCCTTCGAGCGTTGGTCACAACGCTCGTTTCTCCTTCTCGCCGTTTACCAGCATAAGGTTTCTTTCCTCCTCCTCCAGCTGAGGATGACTCACTTTGAATTTTCCCGATCTTGATTCCATTCTCGACGTGCTCGCCCATAATAATGAGAGCTGAGAACGT